AGGCCTCCACCCCCAGGAAGCAGCCCGTGACAGCTGACTAACACCCAGGTACCTATTTTACTGCTAGGTAACAGGGGCATAGGGTGAAAGAAACTCTGCCCATTGTTTCTCGCCGGCGCCTGGGATCGAACCCAGGACCACAGGATCACAAGTCCAGCGTGCTGTCCGCTCGGCCGACCGGCTCCCCAACCGTGACGAGGATTCGAACCTGCGTCCGAGAGCATCCCAGACGCTGCCTTAATCGACTGAGGTACGACATGGTCAAAAGGCGTTGAAACCGAAGTTCTACTGAACTTGCCTCAATAAACCTCATAAAATAAATGTTACCTCAATAAACTTGTTTCAATTCTACCACCTACGGGCTACTCGTGCCAGTGCCACCTCTCGTTGTGATTGATTGATTGATGAAGATTAAGCCAACCAAGAGGTGGCACGGGCATGAATAGCCCGTAATCTCGTGGTGGCTTTAATCTCTCTCAATCAATCACGGGTTTTCTTTCATCATCTCCCCGACAATCACTGAAGGCTAAAGAACGGTGGGCTGGATGTTGCGGCTAGTGTTGCCACCAGCATGTGCTGTGGATATGTGGTAATGGTAACGAGAGGCTTCGAGGTAACGGCGGGCCCTCGTCATTATTGTCTTCCTGACTCATAATTGTTGCCTCGTCCATTGCTAAACCTTGCAAATATGGATGTTTAGTGCAACCCTTCCTCCTGGAACTATTGCACTACCAATATATAGTAGTGGTGCCCCGTAAGCCACTATTCTTACTATTGTAAGAATATAATAGTAATTCTTTGTACTATTCATTTTACGGAGTCTGGAAAAAATAAAGTAAAACCCAAAGTTCAATATTACCTAGGCCTATAATAGCACATGTATGGACTATATTAGGTCTCGGATAGCGTGTATTAGGCTGGTTAGGTTTTATTAGCAACATGAAAACTTTATGGGTTTGTCCAAATTCAGTACTACAAAAGTGTACTTTCTGGTGGTTCATCACGACATACTCATACTTTCGACCTCATCCTCACTGTTAGTACTTTCATTCTAGGAGGATGGGCTGGTTTAATTAGGTAACTTAAGTTACTACCTATGGTCAACGCGAGGAGCTTTACGCTTACGAAATTAAATTATTTAATAGGAAGTGAACAGAATGATAGTTTCATTTAAATACTGAGACTAGGAATAACAACACAGTCGGTGAAAGATGCAAGAAGCAAATCGTGTACATAAAAGAATGTGTGTATAGCGTGTTGGTATTACCGAGTGTGATGAGGTAAGTGTGTGTGTGTGTGTGTGTGTGTGTGTGTGTGTGTGTGTGTGTGTGTGTGTGTGTGTGTGTGTGCAACATTGCAGCGGTGAATGAGGTTTCTTCAATGTGGCTCATGGGTTCACAGCTTCACATTGATGACTGACGGCCTTCATCAATTATTGGGCGAGTTGGCTAGACGAAATGTCAGACCGGTTCCCCATCCCCCACTTTTCTTCCCTCCCTGCTTTGACCTCACACTACCCTTCCCTCTCGCTATCTTGGCCGGCCGGCCGACTAGCCTTTATTGCTCCCATGGTATCTTGGCCGGCCGACTTGCCTTTATTTCTCCCACGGTATCTTGGCCGGCCCGCACTTACCCCTCTCTAGCTGCCAAACTTGTTCCCGTTAGCTAAAGGCAGTGGAAACGAACAAGCAGTTTCCAAACAATACACATTGCAAAAAGAAACCCCGAGCCCACTATTCTTGACAAGTTCTATCCAACATACTGACGTAGGCAGAATAATGGGACTAAAGATTAATAAACAGGAATAAAAAAAATACGCAAAAAGAGTACACGTCAGTCATGGGCAAACTTAAAAAGATTTCGTGACCTTGTTAAGAATACGCAGTTACACTTGTACAAGGCTTCATCTACTCCAGTACACTACGTACCTTAAATAGGAGCAAAAGCTGCAAGCAAACGCAAAACAAGGGACTAGGAAGAGCATCAAAACTCCGGCTATCATAGGACCGAAGACTTGAACTCCACGAAGCCCTGAACATACAACCACCACCACAACTACAACAGCAAGCGACCAGGTGTGGCACACGATTACAATATTAGAAGGCCCCAGTGTTGTATTTGGAGTAGATTTATTTTTGTGTGGGGGGGGGGGATATATTATGTTTAAATTTATCTGAGCATGTATGAATAAAGTATATAAACTGTAAACAATGCAGTGCACCAATTATACTCAACTTGTGAAGAGAATATATTTATGATCATGCAATCATATAATGTAAATATTTTAAAATAGGTTTTGTCTAGCTAGTATGCTGAAATACCTTGAGCATACTAGCATTTGCTAGATCCTAACATTGTGAGAATGGTTTGTTGTTTTAAGCTTAACAGTGTCATTGTGTTAGTCACAGCGTCGCTAAATGTTTACTTCGGTAAGTAAGTACTTCAGTAAGGTGCGTTAAACCCGTTCTCTAGCCTATTACGTCGCATTTTTCACGGAAGCCTAAACAAAAAGTCTGTTCAAACTATCATTTCGCCTAGTGCTTCTGTTCACCTAGCAGTTTTTAGGTACCCAGGAGTTAAAACGTTGTTGTGGGGGTTGGATCCTGGGGGATGATTAGAAGTTCGACCTTAGCGAATACAAGGCCAAAAGTGTGTACACGCAGGCTTGCTGCCCCAACAAAACTTATTAAAAATTATCGATGCTTTCAATGTATCGACCTAGATAGGTTAGGCCAGTATGTTTGCTTTAGTTCATACATTTCTGGGTAAAATTGCAAAACTGTTGCAATTTTTATGGAGTGGTAGAGAGAACGGGCTGTGGGGGTGGGGGTAGTGACCTCTGGGCGGAGGTGGAGGTGAAGTTGGTCACGACTCTCCTCCGCCCGGCATTCCTCCATTCTCCGCCACCATGTGACCTTGTGATGTAACAAACAAATCCACTTGTATTATATAGTAATGTTTATTTTATTGTGCTATGCATGGTTCAGGATCATGTAGGTGATCTCGGCAGATATACCCTCGAGTTCTGCCGAATTTACCATTTGAATGTTGTCCTTTGTTGGTTTATAGATTACCCTGTTCAATGCGACTAGTGCGATTCGTAGCATGATTTTGAAGCTTAAAACGCTTTTAAAGGATCTCTATAGAAACCTGGCAGCGTATTCCACTGGTGGTAGGCTTCAGAGCCGAGTGTTGGGATTAGGTAATATTATGTATAATATTGTTCGCAAACCAACCACACACTCGCTCGCGCCACCGCTGAGCTGTAAGTAGTGGTGTAGGAAGGGACTGTTGCAACAGCGTGCCTAGCCCCACGCCATTGTTGGGGGGACGGACCCTGGCAATTCCTCGCGTCTTATCCAAGCATAGTTTGTCATGCCTGACCCCAGAATAACCATCAAAGGAAACGCTCGGCACAACACGGCGGCGCTACGAGCATAAATGATACTGGGTTGGCCATGTTGGGGTGGCGTAATTAGATGCACATTAGAAATGTTTTACGGTTGTAAAGAGTAAATGTAAGAGGTTGCACATTACTAGAAACAGAATTTTGTAGCCATTATTCGGAAAAAATGTCTTCGCCTGATGGGTGATTGCGAGTTTGGATGATGGTAATTAAATGCTGGTAGTAGTAACCTGTATTGAGTATAGATTGTCGTGCTTAAAGATTTACAAATTAGAATATCGAGAGGTGAACGGATACCAGTATCTTGACAGGTATAGGTACCGCATTATTACCAGATATTGTCACTCTGATAATATAAAAGACCGATACCGAGATACTGATACTTAATCTGTTTATATGTTAAACTAAAGACATAAGCTTCTCGTTATCTCGCGGCTTGTAGACATACAGTCGATAATTATATTAATTATTGCGGCACAAGTATTACTGTGGACTGATGAATTAGACTATTTTAAATGGACGCTAGTTTGCCTAACTACCCAGTCTTGGAGTGGTTCGGGACAAAATGCCTTACATTCCCACCATGTTGAGTTTGAAACTTTGAAGAGCACTCGTGGTCCTATCGAAAGGAACTGGATACCTCCCTATCAAGTACAAAATATTAAAAAGTGAAGACGACGACGTTTCGGTCCGTCCTGGACCATTCTCAAGGTCCAGGTCCATTCTCAAGTCACAGTCGTCCTGAGAATGGTCCAGAACGGACCGAAATGTCGTCGTCCCTTCACTTTCTAGTGTGCGGTTTGGTCAACATATTTCAACCACGTTATTGTGACTCCTCGTCTGCACAAAATGTTAACACATTTGAGATATCCTACTTTAAATGGATATCTATGTAAATATGTATCCCGTATATATTTATAGGGAATATACTTAAAGACTGAGAGGCGAGACCAAAGAACTGGAGCTCAACCCCGACAAGCACACGTCGAGCAACAGTGAATGGTGGCAAGAATGTGTGGAAAATATTGTGCTTGCGCCAAGTATGGGTCGGAAAGGGAGATTGAATAGATCAGGAATGGTGTTTAGGGAGGTGAGGGTTAGAATTAGCTGTCAAGACTTTTCCCAACAATTTAAATTTATTTTTAATAATTCTGTATTCATATCTTGGACAATATTATCTGTCGATCAAATGCTTCATAGTATCACACAATTGCATTAGCCACGATTACTTGTTAAAAGTTCGAATATTAATTTGGGATATTAATAGGGTATTAAAAGTATCAACACAACACGAAACAATGGGTACAAATTGGATAAGTTTAGATTTAGGAAAGACTTGGCTAAATACTGGTTCGATAACAGGGTTGTTGACTTGTGGAACCAATTACCGCGTAACGTGCTGGAGGTGGGGTCCCTCGATTGTTTCAAACGTGGGTTGGACATGTATATGAGTGGGATTGGGTGGTTATATATAGGAGCTGCCTCGTATGGGCCAATAGGCCTTCTGCAGTTACCTTTGTTCTTATGTTCTTAAGTTAAACTTTGGCGACATTGTATGAGAGCACTAATATAATGGTGTATATTGTTGTGGCAGGAACGCGGTGTTGGTCGCCATAGGAAATACGGGTATTCTGTGGCGTGCTGTGCCAGTCCAATAACTGTGGGCGTGGAGAGGATGCCAGGTGACGAGCGTGGGTCTCCCTCATCCCTCACTGACTTTGACTCGGCACTAGGGGGCAGCACCGCCTCCCCGGACTCCACAAGGAAGACACATAGGTGAGAACCCTCATCAGTAACCTTGTTCAGCTAAATAAGGGTGTGTGCACACCCTTATTTGTGTGAAGGGTTAGAGTTTACGTTTAATTTTGTTTTCTTTGTATTTCAAGTAATTATTATTTTTCAATTTAATTTTTATTGCAATTTGAGATCTGACATTATTAAAGGATGACCTTGTATGCTAAAGTCAAATCAGTACTACCCAGTTTTATTTTGTATTACTTTTTAAATTATATCGGTGAACAATTTTTAAATATTTATTCAATTTTCAATTAAAACCTTTATTCATCAGTGTTTGTGCATTTATAGTAGTTAGTTTACACAGTTTCAGTACATTTGAAAGTCATTATAATAGCATTACATGTAATCATTATGTAATCATTAATATGTACCATGTAATTTAGAAGCTACGTTTGTAAATAATTTAATAAACACATTACAGTTGTGGCTGGAGTGAACGATGTTCACTCCAGCCACATCTAATGGAAACTAACGAAGATTTTAGGATTTAAGCACATTAATGGTATTTTAAGATTTAATTTTGGGCGATTGTTCCTAAAATCCTTAATAATACTTCTCCATATATAGCTTTAAATAAACATTTGAATGACTTTTATTCAGTTAATGTACGAGGTTTTCATTGCAAGATAATAAAACGTGTATGGCTTCTTAAAATAGTTAAAAATTTAAATATTTATACTTTGCTGTGCTATGCAAATCAGAAATTGAACAAATTACAAAACAATTTAGATCATGGTTTTTAAGGTACTGGGGAGTAGTTGTATCAAAATAATTGCATCTAACTGGATGGTTTTTCATACATGATAGTTGATAGTTTATACTGTACCTCATACTATTTTTAACTGGCAAATTTAACATGAACTTAAATATTTTAAAGTTACCTGGAATGAAGCAAGTACAGGTAAAGTAGTTACAAAACTAGATCTTACGGCAGTTGGTTTGAAGTCTTTAATAATTTTACACTATAAGTTGTCCAGGCTACATTTCTTGCCTCACAATTTGAGTGCTCGGTGTTGGGATATTATATTTTGTATCTTCAGCTACTTGCCATAAATAATGGCAGTGTTTAATGGGGGTACTTTGTGGCATTTCAATATCTGTACAGTAATTTGCTTCTTATCAGACCTTAATATCTTGATAAGAATGTGTTTAGAGGGTTGTAGATACTAAAGTCTTGATTTCTTTTCTTTTAAAGTTATTAATTGTGTAATTTTTTCAGTGGTTGTTCGAGTATGAGTGATCGCGAGGAAGAAAACTTTGAGTGCTACGGTGAAGCTGATGATATCGAGTGCGACTCTGACTCTGCCAGAATGGGGTGAGCTTAGTTTTAGTGTAGTTAATTTATTATCCACCCCATACCCATCATGTGGGGAAGAGTGGAAATGGTTCCAGAGGCACATAATAAGCTCAGGGACTGAACCCCAAAATCCATTTAGCCATTAAAGTTAGTCATGATGAGCTAGTTCCTCAGTTTAAATTTTTTTTTTTACAGGAATGCAACAAAATGTATAAGTCTTGAACACTCGATATAATCCTAATAGTTATACTTGTTTAATGTATAATATAAGCAATTTGAATCTGATATTTAACAAAATAAAATTACCCATTTTAATTTTTAAATTGGGTTTATGAGAGTAGAGAGATTTGACGTTTTACATTCTTGTAAAGCCATTACCACGCATGGCGTTTTTGGGCAGATCCTTAATCTAACAATTTTAAGAAGGTAATTTCTAGCAAAATTAAGAAATTTTAATTACAGGTACATTAATGCACTTGGAATGTGTGATGATGTACTAATGAGCTGTTTATTTGAATTTTTAAAAGGTAAACAGTTTTGAATAGACTAAACCTTGATATTAATTGCCATTTTCTTATTACAGCAACATTGTGTTAGCAACCAGGACAGGCAGTCGATAATATTGTGACAGCCTATTATTGTATATACAGTACTTGAACAATGATGTTTTATCCCATGGCAGTGATGATCTGGATGGCAGCATCAGAAGTCCCCCACATTCTCTACCCCCTAGTAATTTTAGCCGCAGAAATTCTTGGGTCAGAAGATCTTTACGTGGCTCCCCATCCAGGTATTGATTCCGGTGAAGTTTTTCAAGTGGTGGCAGCACAAAGCTTGCTTGTTTTGGTAGTTGCAGCAAGCATGTCTCCGGATCATGTTCTTCTGTTTCTTGGCATAGTTTGTAGAGAGCAGAATTATGATATTGCTATTTTCAGAACATTAATTTGAATAGTAGTAAATATTTAATTACTATCTAAAGTTGGGGGTGGAATATTCAGTATAAGTGCTGTATGCTGTTTATAGTTGCATTATAATTCTGTTCATCTGGTTTGCATTTTTTCTAACTTAAATAGGAATAAGTTTACAAGGCTAAAGTTCTGTTTTTTTTAGCTGATCATAAGAGAATAGTCACAGTACAGTTTATCTGCTTAAAATTTTATGTTCCATTTTATAATGTAATCTTGCTCTAGATATTTCATAACTGTGGAATGAATACGAATGTTAGAATAAGAATAATTAAAATTTATGGTGTAATAATATTCAACAGTTCCCAAGAGGAATTAAATTTGTTAATGGAAAGCGGGTTAAAAAAATAACTACCTTGATATTCTTCTTGAATTTATTCAGCATTTTAAACTAATGAAACTTCTTAAAACACTGCTATTCAGTTTACGACTAGATAAATATTACAGTGTACAGTATTTCATACTAACGTCTTCTCGTGTAGCGCACTGTTCTGCATCCTTGGCTTACAATTGAAGGATCTGAGTTCAATCCGTGAGCAGGACAGTAAGAGTTTTTAACATTTCCTTTCAACTGGTGCCCTGTTAACCAGCAATAAAACAGATATTCAGGAGTTGGGCAACTGTTGTGGGGCTGCATTCTGGGAAAGACCAGTAGTTGGCCAAGCGGGAGACCTTGATAAGCCAAAGTAGGGACTTAATGTTCCTAACACCAGGAATAATAATTAATGATAATACAGTACTACTGCAATAATAATAAAAAAATAATAAAATAATAATAATAATAATAATAATAATAATAATAATAATAATGATATTACAGAGTAAACACACTGTGATGTCAATGAGAAAATCCATTGGCCTAGTTTGACTGGGGTGTATGTGTGGGAACACCATCGCATAGGTTCGAACCCTCATCACAGATCCCAAGATTTTTTTCAATATTATTATTATTAATGCAGCTCAGAATTGTCATGAGAGAGAGAGAATGAGAATGGAAGATGGAGATATAAAAGTTGTAAACTATGGAAACTAGCACAATTCAAGTGAATGGGGTAAAGTGTGTAGCGGAGCAAGATTTACATAGTAAAATTAGCTACAGTACATGATCTGGTTTGCGAGTTAATATCATTTAAAAATTTTGGAACTTTGCCTTGTGCACTTTTGCCTGCTACTGACACTTCTAATTTTAAAGTTTTATTTCAGCTTGCAGCGAGACGTTACTTAGAGCACTCAATTTGCTTTCTATTTTAATTTGCCATAAAATAAATAACTTTTATTTTGACCTTTGCATGTGAAGGTGTGTGTCTGTGTGTGTAGTTAGGCCTAGCATATTTTCTTGGCATGCATTATCTTCTTAATGGAAATCTGTTTCGTGTTTCTTTCACTGTCTTAAGTTCTATGCATAGTACATCAGATCTTAGTACTATGTATGTCGAGCGGTTAATATAATATTACAAGTCTTGTTTAGAAATTAATCGAGGCTTACGTTTTCTAAAAATGCATTCTCGTTAGGTCATGAACCTTGATGAATTGGCAGATTTGTGATTTTTTGTGGTACATGTATATGGTATAGTACATCATTATCAATGTACAGTACAGTTGATGCAAACTTACGATGAAAAGGTTTATAAAAGTTGATAAGTTACAGTATGTGAAACATTTGAGAAAGTTCTCAACTCGGTTACCTTGGTACTGTGACAAGTTTTTGACAATAATACTGATAATAATATATGTTAATATTAATAGCTGGATTAGAGTAATTCAAGAAAATAGTTTGAAAGTTATGATATTTTTGTTCATAACACTTGTGTTTTAGACACTGTTATTCTAAAAAGCCTGTTAATCTATTAAAAAAAAATTTCACTTGCCAAATCTACAATTTTGTTAATTATGCTGATTTTATCATTGCAACATAAGGAGCACTTTAAAATACATTCAATAGGTTAATAATTTATATAAACTCATGAAGTGGAAATAAAATAAATGAATATAAAGGAAAATCAATATAATGTAGAACGTTGGCACTCAGCAGTGCAGTGGTCAATACACTACTCTTGAACAAATCCACAAGGGCTGTGACGAGGGTTCGAACCTACGTCTGAGAGGATCCTAGACGTGCCTTAATCTTGAAAAGTCAGAGGATCGGGGTTCAAATCTTGGACAGGGTGGGATGACTGAGCACCTTTTTTTCTCGGTGTTAGCCCCAATGTACCCTGCTGTAATTGGTGGCCTGAATGTAACAATTGGTTGTTGTATTTTTGGGAGAACTTGGCAACAAATATCCTGGCCTGAGGCCTAAATCCCAGTATTGTATATCATAATACAGTGTAACAAAGAAAATATTATAAGTGAGAAGATTAAATTAAGCATCAGATCTTCATGTTTTCTCAGATTTTGTTGATACACCAAAATATAATGATACTCCGAAATATAATGATGTAATATGTAATGTTTGGATAGTGTCCAAACATGTTCAAGTAGAGCACGGTAAAATGATGGTGCAGTGGTAGTACATGTGCCCACTCCTTCCAAGTAATTGCATGTGGATTAGAGACTTGGCTAGGGAGGGTTGACTGGGCATCAATCCTCAACTGTTAGCCCCTGTTCAGCAAGCAGAAATAGGGGACCTGGTTAACATGTTGGTGGGTCATACTCCAAGGAAGACTAGTAGAGCAAAGCTTAACATGAGGAAAAGTTTTATGCCTGCCAGTAGGAGTCAGACGTCATCATCTACCAATCTGTGTAGAAAGGAAAAAAAATAAATCCTACCTTACTTCCCAAGTCATTATTTAGGAACACGAGACTTTTTTTTCACGCCTTATCGTTATCTCGTCAAATATAGGGAATGATTTTTTTAGTTAATTAAATTGCTGTGGGAAATTAATATCTAAAATTTAACCTTTCTGCTTTGGGTTATGGTCTAACTTTGCTTTGGTTGGAAAGAGTTAATTAAATAGCAAGTGCATAATTAAATCTAAAAATCTTGTAATATTTAAATAAATTTACAAATTTATTTGCAATTGTACTTTTTTTTTCTGAACTATAATGTATTCCTAAAACTGGCAAATATTGCAGTGTGGATATTGCCACAATGTAGCCACTATTAGCAGAGCATTCCTGCTGAACAGGAAGTGTTGTGCCAATGGTTGATATGCAAAATAATTTATTTTGTTACTTTCAAAGTTATACTACATATAATTTGTAATCTAGTTGGAATTTAAAAGGAAAAGTCACTTAAACACTGTACTGTAGTTATATTGAGCTATATTGAGTACAGTTTAATTTTACAATAATGATGCACTTGAATAAGGTGTTTGACCTGCCATAAGTATTTGCACTGTGGTAGTTGTGTGTGTTGACAGCACTTTTTAATGTAGTTTAATATGGGTGATATTTACTACTCAAATGCTTATTAACATGTAGAGCGTAACAAATTTGCAATAATATATATAAATTGGTGAAATTTGCTGTTCTCAATGATTATGAAAAATTAACACTGCTTTTTTTTTAAAGCTTTGTTTTTTCTAGATAATCCTATGATACAGTAACACTTTTAAAATCTATTTTTGAAATAAAATACTCAAATTTTACAACTGCAAATATAGTATTCACACACAGAATTTTCTTCAGATATCATAGATGATGATGAATACACAGTTTACTAAGGTCTGACTTGTGCATTAATCTCTTAAGTTACACAGAGTTTAAATGGTAATGTTTGAAGTCTCATGAAGGATCTTGGTACATAGGACTTACATGAGATGAAATCATAAGCATGGGTCAATTTAGTACAGTACTGTAGTTTATTCTAATTGCTGGTGAGAACATTTTCTCTGCCTGGCTTAGTTTCTTAGTTTCAATTACTGTAGTTGGTTTCAAGAAAGAGGATTCTTTTTTTTTTTTGTCCATTTCTTTAATATTTTTTTTTTTTTTTGTTCAATCAAGCATTATTTCCTTTCAATAGCGCACAGGAGAAAATCATCCCTCCTAGACGTTGGGCTTCCTTCAGACAGTAAGCACTGATATTCTTTTTTTTTCTTATCTTTGGTGGTGGATTTAACCTCTAATTTCCTGAAATTGTGATTCTTAACATTACAGTAGTTTAATTTCATGTAAGACTAGTGTTTTAAATTAATCAATGCATGTTCTGTATACAATTTTTGATGTAATTTAGCTAGCCTTTTCCTAAAATCATTTACAGAACACAAGAAAAATATATGAAACTCTAGCGACTTTGAGATTTGGAAGGTGCTGTTGATCTCGTAAGTTGACTGTGAGGGAGAGTCATTTTGTGTGACTACTGTATTACTATAGATGAAGTAATGGTCCCCACTCTGTCTCTAAAGTGATGTAATAATGTACAGTAATGTGCTGCTGTTATTTTTATTGTACTGTACCTCAATGTTATTAAGGTGAACATGGTATTTATGGATTTGGATAAAGCAAATGACTAAGGTAAGAGGGACTCTGGCATGATGAATACGTATAACGTGGGTAGTTCTGTTATATGGCATCTGTTATTTAGGAAGTAAAGTATGTGTAAGGTAAGATAAGTGCCAAAAGCAAAAAGTACCGAGGCAAAAGTGCCGAGTCAATGTGACAGCTTTATATAGCACTTTTGAGGAAGCCTTGATGGGATGAAAGGATGGAATGGTGCACACCCAATTAAACCATTGGAGATCAAATGCAGATCTGCAAGAAATGAGACCTCTGCTGTACCAACGTGTGAAAGTGGATGGACGAGTTAATGGTATAATAAATGTAGCACAGTGGCTGGCTCATAACCTGGGTTTATTCCTACACGAGAGATATCTGGACCCTCTTCCTCACAAGAGGCATCTTTCCAACTAGCAGTAAGCAAGTACTTGGAAGTTGGGTAACTATTTTGGGTTTACCCTCTGGGGAAGGTCGGCCATTAATCAAAGGGGACCTTGATAAGCCTTAATAGGCGTCCTGTCCCAGATAATGGGACATATGGAAACATTATTAATGCAAGAGTATGTTTGCCAAGCTAATGTAATGTCTTCATGAGTGTTTAGTACGTATACTGTACAGTACATATATGGCTGTGGTCATAAGGGATGTAAAGATGTGCTTCCATGTGGTCATCATAGAAGCAAATGTATGAGTATTTACAAAGTGAAGGTCTTAGTCCTCCCTCAACTCTGTTAGGCCATGCTGCTCATTTTATGTGCCCTCTTGTTTTGTTGCCCACTGACAAATTAATTTGCTAAATAAGGTCTTCATTCCAAATATACATGATTAATTTACACTTGCCTCTTACTGTTTCTTGGTTTGCTGTAAGTATACATTACAGAATGTAAGGATTGTCAGTGTAAGGGAAAATAAGAGTAGAGGATTTGTGGATGCACGTGTGCCGTAAGTGCTAATAACACCAGCGACACAGAGAAACCAGGAGAAATGGCTTATTTTGTTTCTTTATACTGTATCGTTTTCAGCATGGTGTGTTTCCAGTGTTACCAAAATGTTTAGTGTGGTGTGTGACAGTACTAATATAAACAAATTATAAAAGCATCGAATGTTTTGGTAAAGTATACGTTTAACCCATCAATTAGAATGCAGGTTTCTTGAGCAGGATTTGGTTGTACGAACAGAACTGTGTGAGCCTTTTAAAGGCAGCAATGCGAGATGGAACATGAACTACAGTATTACTTTGGTTTTCCTGAAAAGCTTGATGTACGAGAATAGGCCTCTTGATTTGTAGTTCTGTGGTATTTCTCCATGTTTTAGGATGGGAAGGAAAAATTGCTTATTTCAGATTTCTGAATACTTTATTTTTTGGAATTAGTTTGAAGCAAACATAGAATATCAGCTAGTTCCTTTATTATTATGGACTGATGTCTATCCATTCCTGGTGTTTTAAAGTAATTTATCCTGTCAGTGTTCTGATTGTTTCACATGTGAAGGTGATATCCCTTAACTCCTCCTCTCCTGTCCAACCACTTGGGCTGGACAGTTGAGCGACGGTCATACTTCATGCAAGTCGGCGTTCAATCCTCGACCGTTCAAGTGGTTGGGCACCATTCCTTCCTGGGCCCCCCCCCCCATTCAACCCTTATCCTTATACCGACCCCTTCCCAGGGCTATATAGTCATAATGGCTTGGTGTTTTCTCCTGACAATTCCCTTTCCTTTCCTTCCTTTCCCCTTCTCTCCTGTTGTGAACACACCTTTGGAAGTTGGGATGCTGTCTAGGGTTACTTTACACACTTGAACTGCTGTATTTACGGATGGGATAAAACCTGCTGGTGGAGTTGGTTTTCTATTATTGCTCCTGATAAAACTTTTGTTTCCTTTCCCCAGGCAAAAGATGCTTTACTGAAGGATTGTGATTTTTTTTGGCGTTTTTTTGCTGAGACCGTAAAACTTCATGAACCAGTGATGCTTTATTGTAGTTGACTCGGTACTTTTGTTGCCTGGAAATGTTTAAACCATTCTCATCCTGTGGTGAAGATTTGCTAGGTAGAAAGCTATATTTTTGTTGTCTTCAGTTGCATGGCAGATGCCTTTGCTAAAGAAACCATCAATACCTGTTTCATTCACCTGAAGAAAACTCCTTAATCTGATTTCTATCGTGCCGATCATCATATAATATGAAATCGCTGGACAGATAAATGTTTTAACTATTTTGAAAGCCATGCACCAATGAATGTAATGTATCCCTGTGGCCATCCTCTACAAACAATCATGAGGAAATGTATGTGTAGGTTAAAATAATGATAAATTCATTGTCAGGGGATAGGCAGCCTGTGTATAACTACCCAAGTGTAGTTACAGGATGAGAGCTATGCTCTTGGTGTCCTGTGTTCCCAGTACTCTGTTGTATTAACACTTTGAAACTACATGTACTGACGGTTTTGGCCTCCATCACTTTCTCACTTGGCTTGTTCCAACCATCTATCACTGTTTGCAAAAGAAAACTTTCTAATGTTTTTTCAGCACCTCTGTTTCCTTAACTTGAAACAGTGTCCTCTTGTTTGTGATGTTGCTGGTTTCAGGAAGTCCTCTTTATCAATTTGGTAGATTCCTGTTACAATTTTGTATGTGGTGATCAACTCGCCTCTTTTTCTTCTATCTTCTAGTTTAGGCATGTTTAATGTCTGTAGTCTCTCCTTGTAACTCTTGTTTTTCAGTTCCGGAAGCCATTGTGTAGCATGCCGCTGCATTTTTTCCAGTTTCTTTGTGCTTCTTGAGATCTGGTTACCATACAACTGCTGCATATTCCAGTTTTGGTCTCGCAAGTCATGAACAGTTTTAGTATTTCACCATCTGTATAATTAAAAGCAATCCTGAAAGTTTATTTATTAAGTTGGAAAGTCATGTGTGTGTGTGTGTGTGTATGTATATGTATTATGTATATATATATATGTGTGTGTGTGTATTATATATATTATAAAATTTACATAAGAAGGTACATTGGGTTTGTGTGAGTACACAACATTGGTGGTTTTTACATTCTTGCAAAACCTCTTTAACACTCCAGCATTTTGGGCAGGTCCTTAATCTAACAGATAATTGATAGGTACATTGTAGCAAAATTTGCTGAATATTAATTAATATACAGTATATACATGTTAGGCTTATATCGAGGGCAAATTACTGACCCTTCCCAGGATGCAACCACACAACAAGCTGAATAACTCCTGGGTGCCTATTTGTTTCTAGGTGAACAGCAGCATTAGTTAATAAGAAACGTTCCCAGGATTCAAACCCGGAATTCCCAGTTGAGAAGGAATCCAACTGGCCTCGGCTCTGGTACCTTTTGTTCAACTCCTACCCTCAGCCTGTATGTTGAAACTGGCGTCCTCCATCTCCAGGACCGCCGGGATTGTTAGTCTTCGCTACCTTGCGCAGTCCTTACAACACCCTTACTCTTGCCTATGTCATGCTTTGACTTTTGCCCCTCCTGTGGTCCCTGTTCCCCTTCACCACCTCCCTCTTTCTGTATGGTTGACTCGCCTACAGAATTCTTTCGGTTAGTGTTGTCAATATTTCTCCTCGTATTATTCTGTCCTTGCCCCAGTGGAGGGTCCCCCTTCGTAAATTTTGTTAAACCCTGACCCAAAAGACTGAAGCTTTTACCCTCTCTTACAGTTCTGAAATGCCTTTTCCTTGAACACATTTCTTCACACTCCCACTCCATTTCAGTCTTCACCAATTGGTCAAAGTCAGCAGACTGTGTAGGCTACACTGTTGTATTTCCAGATCACACCTATAAGTGTCGCCTGCCTCCAGAGACCAGCATCTTCCTAGCAAAACTTTATGCTATTCTCTATGCGTTTCATCAACTGCTTTCTCGCTGTCGATCCTCCTTTGTTGTTGTAGTTGACTCGCAGTGCTCTGGAGTACTTTAATCCAGTCCATCCAGTAGTAGTAGAGATTCAGCATTGGCTGTTTCTTATCTTCAGTAGATTTAAGAAAGTAGAGTTTTGCTGGGTTCCCAGCCACATTGGTATGTCCCTAAATGAACGTGCGAATGCTGCCGTTAAGAAAGCTATCTGCACTTGTCCCATCTCATATAAAGGTACTGTACTTTATTCCTTGTTCTGACTTTTACCTAGTTATCTCTTCATCCTTGTCCGTTGGCACAGTTGTTGGTTTCCTGTTAATGGTAACAAACTGCGTGCTTTTCAGAGTAGTGTTCCTGTGGCCTTCCTCCTACCACTGTGACTGGCAGTGGGAAACGGCTCTGTCAAGGTTGCGTATTGGCCATACATGCTTGAATCACAGGCACTTAATGGAGCATCGCCCTGCTCCTTATTGTCCAAACTGCATTGTCCTCTTACGGTCGTGCATATCCTTGTTGAATGTCCCGACTTCCAGGACGAACGTGTCTTGCTTCCTGACCATCCCTCACGGTTACTTGTCCTTCGATAGAATTCTTGGGGAATCGAATACTTTTGATATAGTTCACCTTATGTGTTTCTGTTCACATATTGGCATCCTTAGTGATATTTAGCGCCCTCTGATTATTCTGCACATAGTCTTCCCG